AGAAACTCCCTGGTCTTCTTTACAAATGAAAACACATTTCATTCAAGGGATATTGAAGTGCATTACAAAAGGTTTTGCCTCTAAAGGGCAATATTTATACCAAAGTAAAATTCTTAGAGGGTTTCAACTCACATTTCCATGTTAGGGTCTGTGTAAATCTTATCCATTGCTGAAGGATATGCTTTTCCTATAAAATACAGTACCAAAATTCAAAACCATTAATGAGCCTCAGTAGAAAAACTGCATAAACCCACAACCAGCTTTTGATGCTGTATTTTTTCCTCTCCATCCTTCTCTAGTCACAGAAATACTCTGAAGTACAACAGGCCTCAAGTCAATGTTCTCCTGTTATATTCACATTAGATATATATTTCCTATTGTATGTCATGTTAGAAAACAGCTGTGCTGACAATTTAAGTATTACTGGTTATCTGACCTTTTATTTAAATGTGAGATTCTGGTAAATGCTGGGAGATAAACAAGATCAAACCTTATCCAAGACTATATTTGCTCTGACACATACAAAACATTATCCCTCTCGCTTTAAACTGAATTTCTGGTATTTCAGCTTGTACCTGTGGCTTCTTGTTCCTTCTCTAGATACAACCAGAAAAGCATGGCTCAATTTTCTTAACCCCCCCCCCGTGAAAGGAATAAGAAGAATATGTTTTTATAAACTATGAGTCTGCCTAAGCCAGAGACGAACAGGTGAGTTAAGCAACAGGAGAATGTTACTTATTGACACACTGTTGCTTATCCGAGGTGCTGCTAAATTCCTGGACTTGGGGAAAAAGTATAAATACACAAAGACAAGGAGGGGACAGGGGGTGCACATTAGAAGAGGGTCTGTATTAGGCAATTCAGGAAGTCTGTATCTCTCAAGTACCTCAGCCAATGGGGAAAGGTAAATTAGGACAAAAAGGGGGCTGCATCCTCCAGCAATTTGAGAGACCCTATGTAAAATGGCCCATGGCCTCTCCCTTTATTCACAACTAAACCTATGTGACTCCTCTGTCTCCTCTTTAGACATAAAGCTCATTAATTATTTTTCCCAATACAGGGAACAATTTCTTCTCAATATCCCATCTAAAACCACTCTCGGTCAGGCTGAACACACACAGAAGGGAAGAACAGGGAAGATCGCTGTGGGAGATAAGCTTGTAGCTATCAAAGCCCTGATGACTCTGCTATTGAGGTTATTAATCTGAAATTCACTTCCCAACCACCATCCTTAACTGTTCTTCTCTAATCCTGCTTGAAAGTCCTCTACAATCCTTGAGGGACGAGTTCTTCATCGCTATGCTGATGAAAGACCCCCCCACCCCCTTTTTATTCCCCCGTTTGACTCTACGAACAGGGGAATCGCTCCATAACACTTCAGTCCATCCCTGCCGCCCATCCCGCCCCTCCTCGGCCTTTTCCCCGTTAGGAAAAACAGATATAATCTTTTTTTTTTCAGTCTCTTTTTGTCCCCGCGCCCTCGCTTCACCGCCCACACAGCCCAGGCGCCAATCACTCATCGATCACAAACCCCGCATTAATCACCTCTGCCACTAATTGCACCCCATTAACGCGTTCTGCACACATCAATTACCTCGGATGGATCCGCACCGCCCTTACCGGGGGGCTCCCCACACGCTCCGCGCCCACCGCAGGCGGCGCCGCCTCAGCCCTCCTTCCATCCAGCCGCTCCCGGGCAGCGCCGACCTTCTCCCCCCGTCGCTCCCGCGCTCCTTCCCCGCCGCGCCCGCCCCGGCCCTGCCAACGGCGGCCGCCGCTCCCGCACCGCCTCCTCCTCCGACGGGCCCCTCGGCCGCTTATTACCTCCCGCTGGGGGCCCCCGCTCCCGAATCCCGGTTTCCGGGTCCCTGGCCCCGGTTCCCGCTCCCCGGCCGCCGCCGCTCCGTTCAAACCCAACCGCCCGCCCCGCGCCCGTGACGACACATTGGCGCCGTGCAGGACGGCTGCTCCCGGCTCCGGACAACATGGCGCCCCCTTGTGCCGTACAACATGGCGGGCTCCACGGACCGCCCCGCTGCTGCCATTTCGGCGTCTCGCGCGGCCCGCACGCCCGCAGCCGCGGTGATGGGGATGGCGCAGTACCGGGCCGGCTCCGCGGAGTGCTCGGTCGCGGGCCGGCGGCTTCGCTCCGCACTGTGCCCGTGCAGGGCCGCGTAACCGGCGCCGCCGCGCAGGGGAGCGGCGGGCGGGAGGAGATGGTGGAGGCGGTGAGCGTACTTCCTTATAGGTCCGGTGAGGAAGGAGCCGCTGTGACGAGGTGGCCGAGTGGTTAAGGCGATGGACTGCTAATCCATTGTGCTCTGCACGCGTGGGTTCGAATCCCATCCTCGTCGGGAACGGAAACTTTTATTTTTTTCCCCTCACAGTAATATTGTTTTTTTTTTCTCCCCAGCTCTTCCAAGGGGACCTCTTCCTCCCGCCTGTCCCTTCGGCCCGTACGGGGAGAAGGAAAAGCGGAGGCAGTGCCTCAGACAGACAGGACACAGCATCCCGAGGGATTTAGGGTCACAAGGCAGGATAGAGTGCCCCAGAGATTTTAGGGGTCACAGCTAGGATGAAGTGTCCTGAGGGATTGAAGGGTCTCACCCAGTATCCACCTTCCTTTGGTGCCTCTCCTTGGGGTAGCCTGACTTACCTCCTTTCCTCAGAACCTCTGCTGCAGAGCTTCCAGCTGTGACACTGGGAACAAATCCCTTTTCATCTCAACCTCCTCTGGGATCCCAACAAAATGCCCTGTTAGGGCTGGCTGCATCCCTGAAAGCTTTGAGTAAGAATTAGAGGGATGGACGATCTCTCCTATGAGGAAAGGCTGAGAGAGCTGGGATTGTTCAGCTCCATGGAACCCTTAGAGCCCATTCCAGGGCATAAAGGGGCTCCAAGAGATGGACTTTGGACAAGGGGGAATAGCTCCGAGCTGGAAAAGGGGAGATTTAGATGGGACATTGGGAAGAAATCCTTCCCTGGGAGGGTGAGGAGGCCCTGGCACAGGCTGCCCAGAGAAGCTGAGGCTGCCCCTGGATCCCTGGAAGTGTCCAAGGCCAGCTTGGACAGTGCTTGGAGCAAGCTGGGATAGTGGAAGGTGTCACTGCCCATGGCAGGGGAGTGGGAGTGGATGGGCTTTAAGGTCCCAGCCCCTCACTGAAAAGTACATCAAGTTCTGTTCAGATAAACAATTACTGCATTTGGCTTTGTCTTCCATCAAGTTATGGCAATTTAAAAAGCATAAATGAGTGTATTGATAAGATACAGGAAAAATTTTCCTCTCTGCCTAAGCCATCCATGGTTCACTTAAAAAAGGAAAAAAAAAAAGGCTGGAATTAGAGGCCTGTAGAAGTTAGTGAAACTCAGAGCTTCCAGAAGGGACATCTCCCATCTGCATCACAGCTCTGAGCCCTCCCTGCACACACTGACAAAGTTTTACCTACACTTAAATCCTTCTTGAAATTAGATCATACCCAGTCCTGGGCAGAGAGTGAGCCAGATCACACTGGTGCAGACTCACAAAAGGTTCCCAAACACAATGTATGGGTTAAAACACAACTGGACAAGAGTTACTGTGTGAAAGGTGAGTGTTCAGGGGCTAATTCCAGTCAGTCCTGCATAGGGAGAGACCAAGGCACAGGGAAGATTGCCAGGAGGGTTTATTTGTATGGAAAAGTACTTTATCACAGTGAGATAGACATTCTCCTGGATAAAGACAGAATTATAGGATCGTCCAGGATCAAGTCCAAACCTAACCCAGCACTGTCAGGCATGTCCAAGTAAAGGTGTACTGAAGAAAGGAATTCTTCCAGGACCTACACTTTGTATGGAAAACTTTATGCTGACAACCAGGACCCAGTATTTACCTCAGACCCAATCTCAGATGGGAATTTATCCCAGGGCACCTCCAGGGGCAACTTTTTCCCAGCTAACAAAACATCAAACATGATTTTGACAAACTAAACTGAACTAAACTAAACTAATAGGTACAATCCTTGTTCAAAGAATCTTGGAAACAGAAGCCCAGGGGTTTCTTGACCAGGAAATTAAAAGTTGCCAACTGCAGCCATTATTCCAGGAGAAGAAGAAAAAGCAGTGCTGAGCTCCAGCTCCTCATCAGGCCCATTGGCCCCAATGTTAGTCAGGAAAATCCCTGACAGAGCCTTTTTTTGTAACAGAAATTTCTTACCAAAAACCTCCCACCGTAACCTGGGACACATCAAAGTCTAATTTAACTGTCATCCCTATATCTACACCCATTTCCCTGTATCCAAATCCAGTAAAAGCTCCAGCCACCCTTTTTATACACTGGAGGTGCCCAAGTTCCATTTATTTCCATGAAAGGTGTATTCTAATGCATAAAAAATTTGGATAATGATGATTTTTAGCATCTAACCTGAGTGAATTTTTATGGAAATATTCAATAACAGCTGGATGATCCAGCAGACAAAGACACTACTTGGCTCCTTTGGGCTACTGGAAGCAAGCAATGGTTTATTGTGGTTTGGTAGATACATCCTGACCCTGGTGACATCACCAAGTGAAATCACTAATTCCTGTGGGCTGGCTAACCTCTCCCTTGGAGATCTCCAAAATTTATATAAAAACCCTCCCAGAAGCCACGAATCAACTGTGTAAACATTAATGAAAATAAGAACTACGGTGACATTAATCATTCATATAAAATTATTTTAAAATAAGTCTTCTGCTTCATAAAACTGCTTTTGTTTTTCTTGAAAGCTGATTGTCACACTGAAGTGATAATAAAAAAATCTCTTCAAGACAAAATCCAGGGAACAGTACCTCCAAAACCAGGTCCAATACCTGCACCCAGAACTACTAACTTAAGTAATTATTTGAATGAATGTTGGTAATTTCAAAGGCAAGTGGATTTTGCTGACAAACAGCAGGCACAAAAGAGATCACAGTGTTCTGGTTTTACCTCATAGTGTTCTCAGAGGTAATCTTGTAGTTTTGAAATCAATCTGACAACAAAATGCAATAAAAACAGGTTTTTTTATGACATGACATCCAGCAGCTCTTATTTTAAGACATAGGAACACAGCAGGCTGGAAGAAAAATCAGTTTTTGACTTTTAGTGCATACACTTCATTATCCATGTGGATAATTGATCCAGAATCCATTGAGGTGAAGGCAAAGCTGCCTGTGCCAAGCAGAGTTCAGTCCTTGTTGCCCTCAAGTGCCAGTTCACTGAAGGGCAACATAAAACTCCTGTTTTAGCCTTGTTTCCCTGCTCATTTTTCACAGCACCTGTGGGAAGCGGGACAGTTCTCCAGCCCCACTGATCCCTCCCACCCCAGCTCAAGGCACACTTTGTTCACCTCAACCACAATGAAAAGTCAATCTTTGGTCTCTGCACGCCGCTGTCCTGGCCAGCAGTGTCCGCAGGTGCCAGGTATCCTGGTCACTCCTCCCAGTCCTCCATGGCCCACTCGGGCATGCTGGAGCAGTACTCAAAGTCTGTGCCCTTGTAGCGCAGGGCGTGCAGGAACATCACCAGCTCCTTGGGAGATGGGTCCCGTCTGCTCATCCTGCACTCCACACACAAAGGGTCCTTCTCTTCCCAACCCTTCTCCCCCGTTTGCCCATCCCGATTCCTACAGAAACTGAGCTCTTTGTCTTTATCAAGTGTTTCCAGGTTGATATCAGAGTTCAGCGGACAAGCTGCTACGTCATTCCTCACGGGATCCTGCTCATCCTCAGCAGGGCAGGAACTCCCATTTATAGGCTCAGCCTCCGCAGACTTTGTGCAGTCACCTGAATTCCCACAGTCTTTACTTTCACCGCTGGAGTTCAAGTCCTCCTCCCCGATACCCAAGACCTCCAGGCTCTGTTTGGAACGATGCTCCTCTACCAGCGCCTTCAGCAGTTCCTCATCCGTCTTCCCGATCTTCCCGCCCTTGCCCCTGTCCGGGCCCCAGGCCTCCATGTTGTAGATGGGATCGTTGACAATGGGGTGCCCCAGGAACTGCAGGTGCACGCGGATCTGGTGCGTGCGGCCCGTGCGCGGCAGGCACCTCACCACGCTGCTGCTGCCGTTGTAGCTGAGCCTCTGGAAGAGGGTTTGGCAGGGCTTCCCCTTGGGATCCACGCGGCACACGCCCACCTTGTAGGAAACCACCAGGATGGGCTCTTCACAGACCACCTCGTGCTCTGGGAACTCCCCCACCACCCTGCAGACGTACTCCTTCTCCAGCTGCCAGGAGACACAAGAGGAAGGCTCAGGAAACACAGGGGAAAACACATCCAAGCTCAGCCTTGTTCCTCCTCCCTCTCCCCTCAATAAAATACATCCCAAAGTGGCATTTTATTACAACAGGAAAGGGAAAATAATTCAATCAGCTACTTAAAGCTGAATTTCCCCTCACATTTTCCCCAGCTAGTAGGGAAATCAAGAACAGAGAGGCTGGGCCTATTTGCCTCATTTTAAATTCAGGAGCCATCTCTCCACAGCCTCTGGCTTACAGTCCTGAAGCCAATCTGGAAAAAGTTCTGTTTGGATCAAGAGACTCTAAAAAAATGGGAAACTTAAAATTACAAAAGTGGTGGACAGTTGACATATGTCCACTCACAAATAAATCTAAACTCTAACTGGTTTTACATTATCCCAGTAAGTTTGCACAGTCCGTGGGACAATCCCTTGAGGAGGAAGATCCCCTTCAACCCAATATTACCAAAATAATTTAAATTTTAGGATATCACTTGAAACCTAAAATTACCAAAATAAATTAAGGTTTTAGGAGACCCTCTGCAATTAAATATTACCAAATCAAAATAAATTTGTAGGAGATACCTTTTAGTCCAGTATTACTAAATTAAATTAAATTATCACGTTGAATTAAATTTTTAGGAGATCCCTTTCAATCCAATATAAAAAGCAGTTAAATTTTTAGGGTTTTCAATCTAATATTATCATGCTAGGATTACCAAATTCAATTAAATTTTTTAGGAGCTCCCTTCCAATCTAGTATTACCGAACTCAATTTTTACTCTGTCTTTAGCATTTTAGCAACGAGAAGTACCGACAGATAAGAACAGCAACACAACCATGAGTTGTCTGGGGGACTTGAGCTCATCTAGAGACCAAGCCTGGCTGACTTTGGAGCACAGCAGCAGCTCCAAACCCTCACCTGCCTCTGCCGGACCTGCTCGTCGATGCGCTTGGACACGGCCGCGGTCTTGGCAAACATGAGCACGCCCGAGGTCATGCGGTCCAGGCGGTGCAGGGTGTGCAGCTCCCGCAGGCCGTGCTCCTTGCCCAGGATGAAGATGACCGTGTTGTGCCGAAACCTGCCGCAGGGGTGGACGGGCAGGGACGAGGGCTTGTCCACCACCACCACCTCCTCATCCTCCGCCAGGATGCGGATGGGTTGGGCAGTGACCGGCGGCTCGTGCCGATGCACCGTGTTCCTGAGGAAGTCGTTGTTCTGGAAGGGGTACGGACAATTAGCCTGAATCCAGCTTGTGCAACCACCCACCCGGCCACAAACAACAGAGACTTGACACTGTGGGAGAAGAATTACAGCCCCTTTCTCCTGGGATACCGGATTTAGGATAATAAATGTGCATGTCAACATGCAAATCCGATCACCTGCCCGTACGGTATTCCCATTCCTAAGGGCCGAGGAAGCCGTGGGGCACGTGTGGGGCTGTAGGATCCACATATTCTCGAATCCAGTGGGGCAGGGATTCCCCGGGAGCCCCGATTTCCCCTTCAACCTCTCCAAAGGGTTCACAGAATCGCTGAATATATCGAATCGAAAGGAACCCATCAGGATTATAGAACCCAGCTGGCCCTGTATTATCAGACCGGACCGCTCATGGGGCGATGCTCACGGCTTGGGGCAGGCCGGGCTCTGCCGCCAGCCCAGGATCCCCTCGGGAGCGCCCACCTTGAGCACGATGTCCAGGTCGCGCACGGGCTCCTCGTTGAGGCGCAGGCGGCCGGCGCGGGCTGCGGCGCGGTAATAGGCGAGGGGCTGCGCTCGGAACTCGGTGCCGAAGACGTGCAGGAGGCTGCGGCCCACCCAGCGCCCCTTGCAGTAGGTGCGGAAGTCGAAGTAGTAGGGGCGCACCTTGCGCAGGCCGCCCTCGAAGTAGTACGAGGTCTCGGCGAAGTGCTCGGCGCCGAAGCTCACGCCGGCGTTCAGCTTCCGCGGCGGCGGCACGTACCTCTCGCCGCCCGCCAGCCGCCGCTTCTTGGGGGCCGGCGCCGCCTCCTCCTTGTCGGCGGGGCCCGGCTCGTCCTCCCGGGCTCGGCTGGGGCCGGGTCCCGGCTCGGCCATGTCCCCGCGGGGCCGGACCCCGCGCCCCGCCGCGCGCGCCCACAGCGGCCACACCGCGCGCCGCACGCCGTGACGCATCCCGCTGACGCAGCCAATCAGCGCGGGCCGGCACCGCCAGGCCACGCCCCGTTCCCGCCTGCCCCCCCCCCCCCCCCCGCGTCGTGAGGCGGAGGCGAGGGAGGAGCGAGAGCGCCTTCATTTATTTATTTATTTGTTTATTTATTTATTTATTTACCTCCCAGCAGTCCCCCTCTCCAGAACTGCTCCACAAATGCCCCTCGAGCCTCACCGCAGCCCGCCTGCCCCTTGTGAGCCTCCTCAAGTCACCGCTTCAGGGAAAAGCCGAAACGTCGGCATTTTTTTTTATAACCTCAGTCAGAAAAGCCAAGAAATGTGCATTTTTCGTAAACCCAAAGAAGGTCAAGTCCAGAAATGAATATTTTTCAAAACTCCAAACAGAAAAAAAAAACCCGAGCATTTTTCATACTCTTAAAATCCAGTGTTGCTGCCCATCATTAAATTAGTTGGTGCAGGCAGGAAGAGAACACGCTCCCATATTTTAAAAACTGACAAATCGGGGTACATCGCTGCTCCAAGACACTAATTGCGACTTATTTTCGCCAAGCGTTAGGCAGAGTAGTCGACATTAAAGTGGTTTTAGTGAAGCTTTAGGTATTCCTGTCTGCTGTCAGAATTCTCTGTGATCTGATGTTATCTAGAGTTTATCAGAGAGGAAAGCTGGAGTTGTCTGGATCTGCACCCTGGAAGCTGCCACGGCTTCCAACAGCCTTCTCCGGTCCTGTCCCTGTTCTCCATCCCTCCAGAACGAGCTCCTCTGAAGCAGAACTTCCCTTTATCCATGAAATTTCCATTAAAAAGCAAAACCATACTGACCATCTACAGGCCTAAGTCCCTCTCATGAGCTTTCTGAGGTGCCTTTAGAGATATCCATCCATGTGTCAGAGGTCATCCCTGAGGCAAAGGAAAACCAACAGTTACTACTCCCTCAGTTCTGTGCCAGCATCACATGGAATTTAAAAACACAAACAGGCTCCAGAAAAAGAGGAAATAAAACTCTGCAAGCTCTATCAAATGGAATACAACCCCTGCTTTGCCAAGCTGTTCTCTCCTTTAGTTTTTCCACAAACAGCATCTGCCAGGGATCCAGGACTCGGTCAGCAAAGCCAAGGAGAGCAAGCTCAGAGGGAGAGGAAGGAGTGTTCCTCAGGGAAGAGCAGATTTTACCGAGGCCACTGCTTTTCCTTGTCTGTGAGAGGGACGTAGATGACGCCCATGAGCTGGGTCTCGACGATGTTCCCGTCGCTGGTCTTGTCATACTGCATCAGCACCTGGTTTGCTCCCTCGGGCCCCACGGGCACGATCAGCCGCCCGCCCGGCTTCAGCTCCTTCAGCAGCTGCAGCACGGAGAAATCCCAGTCAGCAGAGGCAAAAAAACACCACAGACAATGGGAATAAGCAGCGTTGTGGAGGTTGTGACAGAAGATAAGCTGGCAGTGGTTCCCTCATTTTTTCTAGGGACACCCAGCACGGCCTCTCTTACCTCCTTGGGGACGGTGGCTGCGGCTGCTCCCACATGGATGGCATCGTAAGGAGCCTCCTCGGGGTATCCCTGCCTGCCGTCTCCAACTACAGAGAGAAAACATGCAGGGAAGACTTTGGTTGTTGTAACAACTCAAAGCATCAACACAAACTGGAAGGACTTTGAGGAGCAGAGCCAAGGGAAAAACAGCCCAGGATTGCAGGGAGCTCACCCACAAGCTTCACACGGCCGGAGCTGAGCAGCGTCGGATCATCTTCCTGGACGTTGCGGATGGATTCGTGCACCAGCTCCTTGATGTGCTCCACACCCACAGCTTTTCCCGTCGGGCCAATCTGGAAAGAACATCAGTCAGACACCTGATGCCTCCCGTATGGAAGAGGGCAGGTTTCAGTGGGAAATAGGGAATCTTCAGGAAGAAACTCCAGAGCAGAGGTTCTGAAGAGGACGTGCAAGCCCTGTGCCCCTTCCTTGGTTTTAAGGCTGAGTAGTCCCAGTTATATCAGCTAATTAGGGGATGTGCTTTCCAGGCTGGGAATAGAGTGGCATGAGCTCACCATCCTGGCAAAGCACGCGGTGAGGTATCCACTCCCAGATCCCACATCCAGCGCCTTGGCACCTTCCACCAGCTGATCCTTGAGCAGCTCCAGCGCATGGGCGTGCTGCAGGGACATCCAGGACAAGTAAGTGGGAAACATCCGGGGATTAGTATCCTCTTCTAACACTTTTTCTTGTTTTCTGATTTAATCACAGCACACCTGGCCTTGTGCCTGACACTTCCAGAGCAAAGCTCAAGTGTCAGACCTGGAAGATCTTTTGCAGGACATAATTTAGGCAGAGGCTCAGGAATTAGATGTGAAATAGCAGGAAAAAAGGTCTCATGCAAAAAAAAAAAAAAAAAAAAAAAAAAAAAAAAAAAAAACAAACAAAAAAAAAAAAAAAAAAAAAAAAAATTAACAACATGGAATTCCCATCTAAGCACACTTTCAAAGCAACTGAAAGGGCATAGGAGAAACTCCTCTAAAGAAGAAAAATCCCTAAAGAAACAAGAAGCAATCCCATGTCATTGGGATGTTTCAGTTTTCTACTTGAAGAGAAATTAAATATAAAAAGAGAAATAAACAATTCCCTCCATTGCTGTTGAAAGTGAGGAGTTTTCACCTTACCATGTGCGGAGCGCTGATCGTAGCCTTGTAGCCTAAAAGGAAACGGGTGACACAAGTTATTTGATGAGGAATAAAATTCCCAGTGGGTATAGTTCCTAATTCTCCCCCACCTTCCCCCAAAAATAGGAGAACACACAGTCACAGGATAATTTGGGCTGGAGGGGACATTAAAGCTCATCCAGTCCCAGTCCCTGCCATGGGTGGGGACACCTTCCCTTAGACCAGGTTACTCCAAGGCCCATCCAACCTGGCCTTGGACACTTCCAGGGATAGGGATTCCACAACACGACCATGGAACACCTGCCAAAGCACCTTGTGCTTGCTGACAGCAGATGTTTTGCCAGAAATGACTTACCAATGGATTGAGGAGAATCCATGTATGGGAAATACTTGATGTAGTGACCTCTGTCCGTAGCCAACAGCACATCGAAGACTCGCTGAGATTTAATGATCCCTTTTTCTGGGAAAGAATGAAACGAGAGACATGCAAGACTGAAATCCTGGGCATTCCAGCAAAAAGAGATTTGAAAGGGGAAGCACACTTCAGGGAGTTCATGGATCTGGGAGAATTAATGAGGGATCTGAGAGGGACAGCAAACCAAACACGATGGAAGCACATCCTTTCCCATTCCCGCTGGGGGCCCAGCCACCAGCCTATCTCCAGAGGGCGGCCACCTGCATCCACAGTGCCTCTGACACTGCCAGGTGTAACCGGAGTCACGGTTCAGGTTTCAGCACTGAACTCAAGGGCCATGACTGCAGTGACAGCCAACATCCCTTCACGCCTTTCTGCGGGAATTCTGGGGAAGTTTACAGCTATTTTTATGTGTGTTCCAGCCCGCTGTCCTGAGCGGAGCGGGAGCACCGGGCACCATTCCAGCCGCCGGACAGAGCTGGAGGCACAGCATGGATGTGCGGGACACTCGGCTGCACCCCCGGGCTCGGAACACCGAGCTGCAACACTTTAAAGGGCACCACACACGTCCAGAGGCAGGGAAGGAAGGTGTGGAGAGGCTTTCCTCCCCTCCTGGCATAACACTTTGTTTCCAGCTATAAATAGAACGAGTTCAGGCTGGGGCAAATGCCGAAATTCAGGAACATTAACCCCAACCCTTCCGAGTGAGCAGTGTCACACGGCGTGACACTAAATACCCATACACAGACACTAAATATCCGCACGCTGACATTCCAAGGGATGGTGCAGGGACTCACTGTAGAGGTTGTTGACCAGCTCCGCGTGCGTTTTCCCGCTGGATGTCCAGGCCATGGTCCTGGCGAAGAGCAGCCCCATGAGTGCCAGCACGGCGCCGGACGGCAGCTGGCTCATCCCACGGACACGGCAGCGGCCTGCGGAGAGAGGGGGTTCAGAGCCACGCCGGAGCTCCCCGTGTCCCGCTGGAACACATCCCGCCCTCACTAAACCAGGGCAGGTGTGGCAGAGGCTCAAGGATGTCACACCGCACTCGCCTGCGCCGCCCGGGACAACTTCCGCCTTCTGCCAACATGGCGGCGCGGCGGCGTCAGCGTCCCCCACGCTCCGGACCAATGGGCGCTCCCGCTCTGCCGGTGGCGGGCGGTGATTGGTCAGACCTGGGGCCGGTGGCGCCGGTGATTGGCCGGACTCGGGGCCGGAGCGGCGCGGGCGGAGCTGCCGCGGTGCCCGGAGCGCGGGCGGTGGGTGCGGGAGCGGAGCGGCCCCTCCGCCTCACGGGCAGCCGCGGGGACATCGCTCCCTGGAGGGCGACTGGGCGTCCTGGTGGGATGAGAATTCCCCGGAATGTCCGCTGGCGTGGCTTGGGCAGAGGGAGGGGGGTGGCGGAGGCCTGGGCGGGCGGGTCGGCTCGGTGTTCATGGTTTGTTCCCCTCGTCCCAGGATCCCACGATGAGGATGATCGAGAGCGTGGACTCGGTGGTGACCAGGTCCAGCGAGGACCTCTGGGCTGAGATCTGCTCCTGTCTGCCACATCCCGAGCACAAGGACGCCGGCGATGCTTTCACAGACTCCTTCGTGGATTCCTACGCCGAGGGCAGCGGTCCGGGTGGCTCTTCCCAACCTACCCTGAAGCCCTGGGCACCCCTGAACGACTCGGAGGTGTATTTAGCGTCCCTGGGTGAGTGTCTCCCACTGCTGAGGTGCCTGGTGACAGCTCTGCTTTTGTGCCGGTGCTGTGATGAAAAAGTCTCCCAGCTATTTCACACACAATCTGAGTCATTTTCTTCAAGTGCAGCAGTGGAAAGGTGAAGCTCAGTCAGAGCTTCTTCATCTCTGCCACAGAAAGGAACTTTTTATAAAGCAAAAGCTGAAAAAACTGGTTTTTACCCTCCACAATAAGTAGGAGGTTGCACGCAGCAACAGAACAGGTGGCGGAAGTGGCTTTTTAAGCTTTTATTTCTACCAGAACTTTCATCATGACTTTGTTGCTGTTTCACAGCACACCAAGTAGTGCAATGAGGGTGATTTATTTTCCAATTTGCATGGAAATTGTGGGAACTCGGTGCCTGTGAAATCTGTGCCATGCTGTGTGATTTCATGGAAGCTGAGCAGTAAGTGTGAAAGTTATTAAAACTCCAAATGGGCAGAGTTGGCTGATTGCATAAACCTTATTTCCATCAGAAGCGTCACCTGGAAAACACCATCTTGTGTATATATAGGAAAGAAAGCCATGGATGCTCGAAACACAGGGGGGAAATTACTTTTAAAATATAAATTAGTCTTGAAAAGTTAATTTAACTTATGTTTTGATATAGAAGTCCAAATCCTTCTCTCCTTCCAGAAAAAAACCCATAACCAAGATAACAAAATCCACTGTTTTCCTCCCAGAGAGAAGACTGATGAGGATCAAAGGCCTTTCCCAGGAGGTGACCTCCAAGGACATGCTGCGCACGCTGTCCCAGGCCAAGAAGGAATGCTGGGACAGGTTCCTGCAGGAGAAGTTTGAGGCAGAATGTTACATAGAGGGCCACGATGCTGATGAGAGGTAACGAGCAAGTCAGTGGAAGGGGTCACTACTTACCCCTCAAAAACCAGAAGCAGGTTTTGTCAGGACTTTACACAGAAATACCATCTCCCTGCAGCTCGGAGAGGCTGCCACAGGATTCTTGCAGCATTTGGGGAATGCCCATTGGGGTTGTGCTAGAGGGAACACAGAGCCCACACACGTAGGGTTGGAACTTCCAGTGCTCCTTTCTGATCTTTGCACCCCTGAGACTGCATGGAAACAGCTGGGACCTACTCAGTGATTTCCCTCCTCACATGTTGGGTGGGGAAGGAATGGAGCAGAGGAGGGAATGTCCAGTGTGTCTCAGATGGGCATCTGGGGTTGGTGCCAGTCCTGGGATGAGATTTCCCTTCCCTGCTTCTCTTACGGTGCTTCTGTTCTTTCCCCCACTGCCCTCTCACAGATGATGTCAGAAGTAAGATGGACCCCTTTTCCTAAGCAATCTCCCATTCCCAATCACACAGAATGCTCTCCAAATTCCACATTTCTCAGCTGACATTTTCCATTATTGCTTCTGGATGACAAAAAGATTATTTCTCTCCCTTGAAGAAAATCTACTTAAGCCAGAACTATGAAAAGTAATCCCTGTTTATAAGGAGGTTTCAGATGGTTTCTTTGGTCTCCAGTTAACTTTAATATATTTAAAACCAAGCTTTTGTGTGCTCTTTCTACTGTTTTTAAAGGGTGAGGATGTTATCCATGAAAGAATTTCAGTCCCTAGAACTTAACTATGAAGTTAGAGGTTGCTCCTGAATGGTGCTGAAGTTTTAAGTCTCACCCACTGATGTAATTAAACAAGTCTTCACTTTTAAGTGCACTGAATTATGATGTTAGACTGTTGGGATTATATTGCTTTTTAACCTTCCAGTGCTGTTAGTGCTCAGATGTTTTGAGATATTCTTCCAGCTTTGTTTTTCTTCCCTTCCCTTTCTCCCAATATTTCCTGAGCTTCATCACAAAGAGGCAGCGGGGGGTTCGGTTTGTTTGGACAAGACGTTTTTTACTTCCAGACCAGAAAGCTGGGAACTCCTGGAATCATAGATTGGTTTGGGCTGGAAGGGACCTTAAGGCCTATCCAGTTCCACCCACCTGCCCTGGGCAGGGACACCTTCCACTGTCCCAGGTTGCTCCAAACCCCATCCAGCCTGGCTTTGAACATTTCCAGGGAGGGGGCAGCCGCAGCTTCTCTGGGCACCCTGTGCCAGGGCCTCAGCATCCTCAGAAGGAAGAAATTCTTCCCAATATCCCATCGAACCCTGCCCTCTGTCTGAATCAGTTGGAGTCTTTGGCTACAGAGGTAGAGGAGAATTTCAGGTGTGTAAGGGCTGAAAGGGATCCTGTGCAGGTCCTTTACACTGAGAGACATCAGAGCATAAAGCATATTCTAACCAGAATTTCAAAGGCCCACCTGCAGGGAATGGCCTGCTTCTCCCTCTGGCACCGGGATCCATCCCACACCACACCTCACCTGTGGGAAGGGGAATACCTGCAGAGGGGCAGGGAACGCCTGTGGAGGCTTCTCCTTCCGCTTCTCTTGCTGTGGCTCTGTCACTCTCTGGTCTCACGGTGTCGCTTTGCTGTCCCCAGCACGCTGGAGCACCTGAAGCGCTGGCTGCAGCCTGACAAAGTGGCCATCAGCTCCGAGGAGGGGCAGTACCTCATCCCGCCGGAATCGCAGCCGGAGGCCGAGGAGGAGCCTCCGGCTTCGGAGCAGTGAGAGCCCCCGGCCGTGCCCAGGGCTGCCTCTTGTCCCAGCCCCCAGGAAGATGTACCCAGCCATAGGAATAGCAGGAAGAGGGGCACAGAGCAAATTGTCAGTAATTGAAAAAGTAATTTCTAAAAGAAACAACCTCCAACACAACAAATTCCAGCTCTGGAGCTCTGCAGACAGCGACTGGCACTGGTAGGGACAAGAGGGAACACCTGTGACACGGCTGAACCAAAACCTCACGTGGATCTTCTCCAGCCTGCAGCCACCTCATCGTTCCAGCCTGGATGTGGATTGTTTAGAATCCATCAGGAGACACATTAAACAACAACAAAAGCAGTTGTGGAGAAGCACCAGAAGACATCACGGTCTAGAATAGAGCAGAGAAACCACTGAATCACTTTTATTCTGTCTTTTACCTTTTCATTACTCAGCTGGGCATTGTTTTCCTCTCCTGCCAAATCCACTTTGGTGTTTTCTCCAATTCTTCACTGTTTCAATCTGACTTGGCCCCAAGCTGTGCCAGGAAGATGATGGATATTTCCCACCTCTGTGAATTTGGGACCCTGAGGGAAGCTCTCACTGTCGTCAATGAATTGATAGTGTCATTGACACTGTAGCTATTTCACATTCCTCTCTGTAATGTACCCCCTAATATCCCACTTTATTGCCCAAAATCTCTATTACAGACTTTAGGGGGAGTATTTTTCCTCTTGTTGGTTGTTTTGTACCTGTTCAGCCTCTCCAGAAAAAATTACATGAGATTCTATATGGGGAAACCAAGAGGGGTAGCCAGGAAAGCTACAAACAACTTGTTTTCATCACAAAATTGCATAGAATTCTCTGACTTTAAATATATTTCGTTTTTAATTTGTTTCTTCACCCTGTTTAACTCTTCAAAGGGTTATTCCCTTTTACTAATCCAAGAATCTGTGATTTTGTGCTGATTTTTCACTGATCTGTGTGTTCTGCCTCGGCACCAACACTGGAGGTCGGTAGAGGGAAGCAGCACGGTCTGTCAGAGCTTCTTAGGGGAAATTGTGGTTCTAAGAGTTAATCCTCACTGGATTCATGTATGTTCATTTATGTATCTGTTTGAAAATACTTTTTTAGGAGTAAATTTTTGCTGGAGCCTCCCAGTTTCCTGTCTCTGTACCCAAATAGAGGCACTGCTCTGTCAGTCACCAGGTCACAACTCGGAGATTGTTCCCACCATCAGCTTTCCTGGTGTAACTCCCACCCCAGACTCGCCTCCCAGAAGAGTTCCCCTCCCACGCTCAGAATTCTCCATTAAAACAATCCCTTGTTTTTTAAACCTTGAGGAATGGGGTCAATCATCTGAGTGCCAGTGATGCACAAATTGCAAGCCTCGTGTCTTGCTGGTTTGGTCATTAAATGTCCCTTTTAATTTATCCTTTAACTGACCTTTATTAAGCCTGTGTCCTTGTGCAGATCTCTCTCACCTGATGTAACAAAGCTGTGACAAAGATACAGAATTCTGTGCTGTTCCCAGAAATGGTTTGTGCGGAGAGAGAAAGCAGCAATTTCTCTGTCCCCAGCCTATTTCCGAGTCAATAAAATTCTTCTTATGGGTAGCAAGAACTGTGGGGATGCTTTATATTATCTTATCTGTTCTTAAACATATTTGAGGAAGAAATATACCCAAAAGAACTGTGCTGAAATTATTCCACATCCACATCACCAAGCATTTCCTTTGGAGAAGGGACCTGAGGGAACAGCTCTTATCATTTCACTAGTAAAGATAATAACCATTTCAAGATTCTGTGACCTGCTCTATGGAAGCATGTGGGGCAAAAGAAAATCCAACTGATTACTGCAAAGGTTGAGCAATAATTTCTTTAAAGTAATCCTTTATGTGGAGTTAAACTTTTTCTCCCTCCCATATATAATAAATATAGCTACATAAATATAATTACATAAAATTAAATTATAACCAAGAGTACAGACTTGGGGTGGGTCTATACTTAAATTACCATTAAAAAACCCCTTTAAAACTTCTTTACAAAATCACTGAAACTGTGAATAGGAGTGCAGTGTGTCCGAACAGTGTCACTGCACTTGGTGATGGCACACGATTTGAGTAGCAAGGGTTTTACCTTCCAATATTGGGGTTCATTTGGGGAAAAAACAGGCTGAGCTCCTCTCCACCAAACCAACTCTTGCTGGTAAAAGCAGCAGCCTCACTAGGGGTGGGTTTTGCTCCTACAGCAGCACCAGTCTTGCTGTGTGTGGAAATAAGTCCCACAGAGGGAGACTTGCTGAGGCTGGAAAAACCCTCTGGGATCATCGAATCCAAGCCCAGCACAGCTGAGCCCACCCGTGTCCCCAAGTGCCACATGGCTTTTAAATCCCTCCAGGGCTGGGGACTCTACTCTTGCCATGGGCAGCCTGTTTTTAACATTTAACCCAGAGGAGACATCAGTGACATCTCGGGGACAGAGACCCATCCTCTGAGGCACAGGCAGATCTGCCGCTGTGGTGCCTGGCTGCATCAGGTCCAGACCATGAGGCACAGGCAGATACAGGGAGTGACTTTCAGGCAGGATAAATGAGTAAATCACAAAGGAAACAGCAACCCCCCTCCCCTCTGTACCTTTTAAAGACAATATTTTACCTTTTTCTCTGTATGAAACAGCCTTTCTGTACCCCTGGAGAGGTACAGAGTGGAGAGCCCAAGTACTAATGCAGCCCTAGCCTGGCAGGGGTTTGCTTTCATAATGGGGCAGAATAAAGTATCTTAACACAATCCACCTGCTGCCTTGTCAGAGCAGGGGGGCAGGGCTGACAGGGCATTTGGGCAGCAAGGAAAGGCTCCCACCTATCCAAACAGGAAAAAATGTGCTTCTCCACAAGCTTGGACCAAAGGAATTGAACCCACAGAAGCATGAGCTGGCAGCACTGTGTGGTGCTGCTGAGAATCACAGAATTCCAGAATAGTTTGGGTTGGAAGAGAGCTCAAAGCTCATCCAGTTCCAGCCTGTGCTGTGGGCAGGGACAACTTCCACTATGCCAGGTTGCTCCAAGCCCTGTCCAACCTGGCCTTGGACACTGCCAAAGACGAGGCAGCCACAGCTTCTCTGGGTGCCCTGTGCCAGGACCTCAGCACCCTCACAGGAAAGGATTTTTTCCCAATATCCACTCCAAACCTTCCCTCCTTCAGCTTATGGCCATTAAATATCCCATCCTCCTTTGGAATTGACAGGATCTCGGGGATCTCTGGTTATTTCTAAAAACCACCCTGGTGACATGGAAAAGAATAAAAATCACAGCAAACTGATTCCTGTCCATCATCTGACAGAATGAGAGGGACACCAGGATGCCACAGGAGGGGTGTCCAGCTCAACCATCAGGGTGGGCTGCAGCTTTCAAACCCACCCTTGCACCCCTGAGCCAGGACCTGGGGCAGGGCAATACGAGCTCTGGGAATAAGAGCAATTTATTCCGCAGGCTCTGGAAGCAGCAAAGATGATGTCAAAGAAGGTTTTCCCAGCATGAGCCTGTGCAGAGGGAAGAGCTCCCAGTGCTGCAGCTGGGTCATCCTGGCCATGGCACATCCAGGTGGGGATGGAGCCTATGCCTACCTTGGGATGGACTCCTCATCTTGCTGTCAGCTCCAAAGCCCAGCTCTCCTCTCAAACCAGCCTCTGGCTCTCCTAATCTGATTGTTCTGCTCTTTAAAATTAACAGCAGCTCTCGTCAGGCACTGATATGGAGATAAAGATTATTCTCTTCCTGCTGATTATTCAGCAGGGGTGAGCACTTTCCTCTTGATCGGCTCAGCCAGTTTTAATAACCAGCCCAGCTCCATCAGATTGGGATGAATTAATCACTGTCTTGCACCAAAACTTTCAATTTTCCAGAGCTTCTGTGACTGCTCTGCAAATTTCCATTCCTCTTATCCCCCCAAAATTCCGGTGGATGATAATTTTTGATCATTTTCCCTTATTTAAGTAAGGCTGACCCTGGTACCCTTTATCATTTGAAGCAATTCACAATGGCTGGACCACCTTCACCCCATCCTACACTTGCCCCCCGAGCTGGGTTGGGGGGGGCAAGCTGGGACACCAGCACCCCGGGGCTGGGTGCCCATCACCCTACGGCTGGGTCACCCTCACTCCACTCTTCCCTCACCCCACTTTCCCCCCCGGGCCGGGACCCCCCGACGGGGCGGGCGCTGCCGGCACCGGGAGCTCCGCGCGGTCCCTGTGCCCGTCCTCCCCGTCTTCTCCGCGCCTTCCTCCCCTTCCCTTCTGGGACAATGTCCCTGGATCCGGCCCCGAGGGCGAGGGAGGGGCTCCCCGCATCCCCCCGGTGCTCCCCGCCGGGCCGGGGGCGGGATGCGGCTCCACCTGCGGTGCGGGGCGGTGGGATGTGCGCGTCCCCCCGGGTTCGTGGAAGACCGAGCGCCGTGGGTGGGAACGTCCTGTTCCTCCGGGACTGAAAGGCTCAGGCAGCGGGGGGATAAAAACCAATAAAGACAAAGCAAGACAATAAAAACCAACCACACCGCAAAAAACCCGGCTGCGATCGGCTGTGCCGGAGCTTCCCGGTGAACCCCCTGCGAAGGGAACGCTCCTCCTCATCCTCACGGGAACATCGGCGGGCAGCGGGCGGCTCCCGGCCCTGAGCACCCCGGACCCCTCGGCAGGTAAGAGCGCTCCGGACCGGGACAGGGGTCCCGCAGCCACACCCTGGACCCCCCAAAGCCCAGCCAGAGCCACGGGGTTCAGCATTCATTGAAAAGGGAGCAGGACCCCGGCGATGCGCAGAAGGGCTGGTTTGACTCTCGCGGGTACACGAAGCAGAATTAGAGAATTTAATTGAGCTTCAGAATTTACATTCTGTAAGTTAATGAGCATTTTGGCTCCTCAGCTGCAAGTTTCCTGATGGATTTTGTGCTCCTGCCCCAGGCAGGGCACGGGGACCTGGAGCTGTGGTATCACAGCGTGCGCCCTGTGAGTGCAGCTGGGATGTAGAAAACCTCAATATCCCTCGGTTAATTACAAGGGTTTTTTAATTAATGCTGATTTGACTCTCCACTGGGGGGAAAAGGCTGTCCAGATCCTGGTAAGGGGGATCAAACAATAATTTTGAGAGCGTGGGGCTTGAAAGGAGCGTCCTGGAGGGGAACTCTTAATTTCCATACATTTTCTGTTGGACTACATTTTCCCCTGTGCTACTCTGAGTGGGTTTGTGGAGGTGGTCAGGGAGCCAGGCTCTCCCTCCTTCCCTCCCTCCCATCACAGCTGCCACAGGGAAAGACAGGAGAAGCCAAAGCTCCACGGGTGATGAAGATATAACCAAGGGGATAAAAGAACCCAGTGGGATGGGCTGGGGTGGGAGAGACACAGGAGTGAAGGGGGTGGAAAAGATGCTCCTTTCCCATCCCAGCCAGGTGGCATGGGACTGGTGGGTCAGGGTGGAATTAACTGGGAAAAATAAAAAGCAAGAAATGCAAGAGTGTCCTTTTTTTCTGCCTTAAGTCAGCACAGCTCCCAGGTGTGGGAGGTTTCTTGAGCTGATTTCTGGATCCTGCTGCCCCAGACTGGCAGATCCCCACAGATCTGTGCTGGCTGCTTGACTATTTCACAGCCAGCTTTCCAAATCTCCTCCATACCGGAGCTCCACTGTGTCTGTCACAGGGCATCTTCACTCTTAAGCAAGTCATTTAAACCAGCCAGTGCCTCAGCACAAGGCTGTGCAAAAGGCCAAGACTCAGGAGAGGTCCTTCTGCCCAGAAGTTCAACCAAATTGTATTTGTGTCCCCTCCAGAGCTCAGAGGCTCATCTGTGTTTGACTCTGAGTTGTGGAGAAGCTGCATCAGCCACAGGGGTTCCCATGGCTCAGCTGCCCAATGACTCCTGGCACAACGACTCAGCCCTGATCTTCACCGGCCTGGACCTGCTCCTGGAGCTGAAGCCGCTCTTCATCCCGCTCTACGCCACGCTGGTGGTGGTGGCGTGCATCGGGAACCTTTTCCTCATCCTCCTCATTGCCCTCACCAAGAAGCTGCACTGCACCACCAACTTCCTGATCGGGAACCTGGCGGTGGCTGACTTCATCATGTGCCTGGCCTGCGTCCCCCTCACCGTGTCCTACGCCTTCGAGGAGCGGGGCTGGCTCTTCGGCATGTTCATGTGCCACTTTGTCACCCTGCTGCAGGCTGCCACCGTCTTCGTGTCGGTGCTGTCTCTCACGGCCATCGCCATCGACCGCTACGTGGTGGTGGCGTACCCGATCCGCAGGCGGATCAGCCGCAGGGCCTGCGTCGGCCTCGTGGCCTGCATTTGGCTGCTCTCCATCGTGGCCTCTGTGCCCACCTCACTGCACACCCACTACTTGGACCTCAACGCCATCGGCCACGACATGATCATCTGCGAGGAGTTCTGGAAGCACGAGGAGAGGGAGCGGCTGCTGTACTCGTGCCTGATGCTGCTGCTCTCCTACATGCTCCCGCTGCTGGCCGTGTCCGTCTCCTTCTGTGCCATCACCTACCACCTGCGCAGGAGGAATGTGCCGGGTGCCGCCCACCCCTGCCAGGCCAAGTGGACCAGGACCAAGCACAAGACCTTCCGCGTGCT